ATCTCCTTTGAGACTCGTCGACTAGATGTATCCCCACTCCACTGGATAACATCACTACCAGCGGGACTGGGACTAAGGCATTAACGCGTGGTGTCATCTAAGAGCTTAAATGTCTCAGAAAACCAACCGAAGTGGTTCACTCAGTGGGAAATCCACAACTGTTCAGTAGATGAAACTATCTCTGGTGGCCCGCTAATTTATTTTCCACAATGGGATCAAATAACTCAACTCAGTGAATGTAATGCGAAGATTCCAAGGTCAAGCACAAAGATTGATCTATTCCGTTTGAGTCAGCCGAATTTACAGAACATGAGAATTCAGCCTGATTTATCATACGTAACCGTATTGAATAGCTTTCTGTAGAAATCATTTGTTAACAGTTACACACGCATTGACACATGGGCACCAAATAAGGCGAATGAGCTACACTTATTATCGAATTATCCTTATTATATTGTTACCCACCATAGTTCCACACAGAACATGGAGTCTCAGCAACACTAAGTGACGCCAGACTCGTGATGAGCCTACTACTCGCTCTGTCTGCGCGCAGTTTGACATTTGTCCTACCAATTGAATTCTGTATGGGTTCTTGTCCGTTACTGTCTGCGCTTGTATGTAGAGGTCATTCTTCTATGTCGCCTTTAGGTACAGAACACTGTATAACTGCAATTTCTCTTCTTTATGATTGAAATCTTGCAGCCACATTCTTTCAGGAGATCAGTATTCAGCTCATAAGAGCTTTCTATGTTTTTGGTAATAATCTGATTAACACACTCTTAGCGTACTTTTTGTCATCATCTGAGTGGTTGGACCAGATTACTGACTCTACAGGTGTGAATTTGGAGATTTCAATTCCTAGTCACCTGTGTTCACAGATTCCTAACAGTGTCATGAGACAACTTGTCCAAACTGTAGTCTGAGCGACCTCATATATGGTGAGAACACTTCGTGTCTTCATGCTTATTCTCGAAATGTGACACTTCGGTTGAATGATATACTCAAAGCTTCCACCCACAGACGCAGTTCATCGTAGAAATTTTCTTCTATATTCCAGGAAGGAATGAGTTTATTTTCCATACTTTTCTGTGCATCAAGATCATCGTAGTGATGAGTTAAATTTTTAAACAGTGGGGTTTTAAGCCCAGCAATCAACCTTTCTCTTTTTCATGGCTAAGGAGTGGCTGATAAGGCAGAAATCCAGTTAAACACTGACAGTTGATCATCCAATCGCTATTCATGAAACTAACCGACATCGGATAAGTCTTATAGATATAATAAAACACCAATAACGGGAATATGAGAAATACCCTCATTATTGCGATCATGATATGATAAAGAGTAACTGTGAACAAGCAAGGCTATAAAGTTATGCTAATACTCTAAAATGCCTGTGAACAATAGGCGTTTACTGAACCACAATCCACCTTGTGAAGTAAGCACTCAGATAGTGCTGTGCGTGTAGATAAACAATTACCACTAAACACATCTCCCAACACTTACCTTATATCCGTAATCTAAAACCTCGTGACATAAAATAGGTGTAATCGAAGATTTCGGTGAGCAACACTTTTGACAATTTCGACAAGTTTCGACTCGTAATAGTTCGCTAATAGGTGATACTTCCTAGGGATTTCCATTTTTTTCATGAATTCAATTATTTCTGGATTCCTAGCCCTAAAGGAAAGAACACAAAGTTGTGTGGGTGACTTGATATGATTATGAGCAATAGTTTGTGCTCAAAACATTATCAGTTAATATTACTGTATAGCACTGTGGGATTTATCAAAATAAAATCTTATCTATTATGGAAAAACACAGTAAGTTTAATCTCACCACGTCAGTGACTTTTGGAAACCGAATTGTCTATCAAAATAGTTATCCAAATCACTGACTGATAGTTTGCATTATTGCAGGAGACGAATTCAGATACATGGAAGGGCATTCATCATCCGGTAGATAAAGAACGCCTTAAAATTCGTGAAGAAGACGACGTTCCTACTTGGTTCCCTATTTCATCCTTGAGATCTCTTTAACCGCTAACTAACTCTGAGTGGGCATAGCACAGCATCTTGTAGACAACCAATAGCTTGAGTCGAATCACCTACAGATGTACCATTTCTTCACTTCATATTTGTGACTGTATGAGTGAAACGCCAAATCATACAAAAACTCCAGTTGAGACTTTTTCGTTTCAATCATCGGAAGGAGGAGAATTAAATCGATGACTACTGAAATACTCAGTGTTTCGAACAAGTGTTGACAATGAGCAGAAGAAATAATCGTGTACTATTTAAGGCTATCAACTATAGTTCATGATAACAATAACATTAATAATAATGGCTTTATTCCAAACAGCAATTCTAATACCGTGTGGAATTTCCAGTCTGTAGTACAGCATGTATTACATCTGATTCTCTCTCTCTACACAGTGCAAGTAGAAATAATTGAACAGGGTATTCATATTGGTAATATTGTTCGAAAGTCTTTAGAACATTAGATTAAAATTAAAGTGGAAACATTAAGAAAAGTATGTCAATAAGGCAGTGAATTAAAAGTGTCGTTTACTTTATGTTTTTTAAGAAATTAGTAGTGACATGCCTTACACTTTTCTCATTACATAAAATGCGTGTATTGGATAAAATATTGTGCAGTTTTTATACTTAGTCATCCGAGCATAAAGTCGTCTATAGTTGCTTACGGTTCTACCTGATAAACGCGAAGGGAGAGTTATCGATAGAGAGGATGCGAAAGGTCCAACAAGATAATATGTGCTAATTCCTTGCATGAGTCCATGTGTCGATCTACAACTGCACTAACAAGTTGGTTTAGTGACACCCCACTCACTCTAATGACAACATTTGTTGCCCTTCATAATGTGACAAAGTCTTCCTTAAGTAGCCCAGCAGATATTAAGGGGCAGTAATAAGGAATTTTAGGCAGCATACACGAATTATCAAACTTTGAAAATATGGACTGAGTGGTTCCAGATTATCTTATCGTCTTCACGTAGAACGTTGAACGAAATATCTTTCTGCAAACTAACTTGATATAGAAGGACCAAGAAAGATTGCCGGAAAGACACAATTCAAGGTGTTTAAAATCCGAGTTAGTTCCAACTTCTGTTAACCAGCTCATGTAAGTCCTGCTTGTGTCTGAAAGTGGAGTGACAACCTCCTAGTGAAGTCGTCTACGACATTCAGAAAACAAATAATATGGCATAATTCTCTTCTGCGGTTCAGTTGCAAATTATGCCATCAACAGTAATGAAATGATTCACAATCTATTTATGATATAAAATGGAAGCATATCATATCAATCACTTAGTTAAGATGATACCGTCACATCTGCTTTCATGCATGACAGGTCTTGATAAATAAGTAGTAGAGATTTGAATCACTAACCTTCATACCTAATTTATTTATCTGATTATATGTATCTTATAAGATAATAATATTTTATAATAATAATGTGTTTTATTGAAACTGTCGGCGATTTCATTAAGGATATGTGTAAATGAAGACTTCGAATGAAACATTAATGACTCACAATTGCCAATAACATTGAAGCAATTTCAGTTGATTCTGAATATGCTCACAAATGATCTGCGATTATTCACACGTTCACATCCAAATTGTTTAGTTCAGATTCTCTTCACCATGACCTTTATTCAAACAGTTTTATTGAAGGCTGATACCGAACCCTGCATACACTGTTCACGGTGTATAAAACATTCAGGCTAATAATAAGAAGCCTTGAGAACAATTCTGTCAAGTGCAATTCACAATGCATACAGTATTGTTTTTGATTACTAATCATGACTCAGAAATGATTGGACAAGAGTTGTACAGACAAACTGTACGTTTTATATATACCTTTATTATTTTAATTTCAACTATTTTTCTCACGAGGTTTGGAAGTGTACGACGAAAGAAACATGAGAATCATTCATTTCAACTTGGCTGAGATTGAAACAAATATAAATTTTAAGTAGTGTTACGATGCAATAGATGAGACGAATTCAACCTGCATTCATCTGAAGGAAGAAAACGTTTTCCGTCAGAATACTTCGAGAATTTCGGGATGTCTTAACGTGTCACCTCAATGAAATGTGAAATAAAAAAGAGTTTACTTACCAACAGGCAAAATTTATCTCATTGCCTCCAAGATGAATATATTTATCATGAAATCGGCTGGTGACTTCTGTAAACAGATTCTTCAAAAAATCAAATGTAGAATCATTGGCTGGATTCATTGGACCCAATTCTCCAGTTGGCGTAGAGTCGTAATAACATTTTGTTAGTAGGTCTGGATATGCTTTTCCCCATGACAATGTATGAGCTACAAGGAAGTATTGTTGGCAACCAATGGAGATCACTTTGACAATTTTTAGAAGGACAATATTACTTAGATAAAAATGGAGTGGCTAGTCCTCAGTCAACACTCCATATCACTCACCATTTGAAATCGATTGTCACTTCGTTTCCTGTGATAACACACGAACTGCATCCCTCAACTCAACGATAATCCCAACGACTTAAAATGCAGTGGTCAAACACTTGACAGTTTTACTGACACTTCAACTTATGATATTCAAGCAGTTCGCCTTTCGATTTCTTCATCGCGTTTTCTGGTTTATGTGAAGCGATTGAAAGGGAAAAATTGAACCGTAAACACGCAATGATTTGAACAGAACCATTGTCTTTTATCCGTAAAGAAACGATAAAGGCTTTCGTCAAATATGAAACTGTCAGGCAATTCAGCACAAATCCACTTCATCACCTCACTGAGTTAATATATACTGAAAAATATAATATCATGAACAATCCGCACTACAGTTTCAAACCCAGTGCCTCTGCCGAATTCATGGTTCTATGTTGCATTTGCGGCATTATTTCGAGAACACTATCACTCTGACTCAAATATTTACATAATTTCATTTCATGTGGACACAGTTGGTGGTTAACTACATCATAGCAAATGTCTTCAAATTTATTTACCTGGAGTATCAAATTCTGGAATGATCCGGACTCCACGGAGACGAGCGTATTCCAATAAACCAGATACTTCTTCTTCATCATATGTACACATTTGTGGATGATATGCACCCTGTTCAGATTAAGATGAGAATCGGAATTAATAACAGGCTGAACATCGACTCAACTCACTTTGTCTGACAGTTCTGGGTAGGTGGTTGAGACAAAGGGAAACGATTGGTCATCTGTGATATGCCAATGAAAGACATTCATTTTGACCATAGCCATGATATCCTGAAAACAGAAAATACTATGCTGAATATCACATCTCCTACTATCATCTTCCGTAGCGTTTCAACTGGCATGAAGTTCCTTCCGGTATCCAAAAGCATTCCACGATGTGAGAATAATGGTTCATCTTCCACAGAACCCTTGAATATCATATTCTAGAGAAAATATATTGATGAAGTCAAGTTATCAACAAGAACGAAACTCACTCCTCCAAATTCATCTTTGTACACCATCTGAAGTACAGTTTCAAGAGCACGTAGTGCACCCCAAATCTCTTTGGAACTTATCGAGATCTCTGTATCTTCAATGTTCACGTTATCTGCAAAGTGGTGAATGAAATACTTCTTGTGTTGTGACTCACATGATTCGTTCATTATATCACTCGGCCACAGTTTATCTGCATTTTCGTCACATCCATCCATGATTTCAATTCTCAGTTTGTTTATGATACATTTGTCTTTGCTTTCCTGAGAAATAGGTGGATGTCGCGATGCTAGACGGAGTCGAAATCTTGTCAGTGAGTCTGTGAGTATAAAACAAGTTGGATAGTTGTGTTCGTAGGTGAGTGTGTGCACCAGGTTGCAGGCTGTTGAAGCTTTGTTGTAAACTGTTGGTTTTGGAACGATAGCGAGAGTGCGCTGGCTAGCATTATTGAGCAGTAACACAACCATGAACAACGCAGAATAACAGATCATGATTACGTTTTGTTTCTCAGCAGTGTATTTCTCACTCGAATCTCAGCAGATCTTATACCAATTGTGAATTGGAATTTGAACTCATTCGACATCTGATGAGAAAAGTATCATCCAACCAAATCAGCGTATCGCCTGATGGTTTGTCTGTGAGTTGTGTATTAATGGAATTTAGACAATCATAATGATTTGTGTAAATAATTTTTGGGAAATACAAATGTTACGATGATTGAAGGTGAGTCAGTTGGTGTTCTCATATGAAGTGGAAATTTAACCCTTAGGATACGCGCGTTCTGTGTATATTCGTGTCAGACATTCACCATCCAACTTCCATGGAATCACTTTATTTCAGAGAACTACGAAGTAACTACAGAAAGTATCTGCTTTTTAGTAAACACCAGTCTTGATGCATCTTTCACTGGAACAGAATAAAAGGGGGGCTAAAACTGCATGAGTTAAATTATGACTGGACAAACTTCTGCGCCACTCGAGGGTGCTTTAAGGTTTTGAAGTTATATTATGGTGTGTTTTTCAGACCAGGCTTGGACGCTGTTTTACATTTTTCTTCGATCTGGTAACACATACGACATCATACTTCACAGCTCAGCCACAATGGTCAGACAAGTTTCTAAAAGCTTCTCTTGAGGTTACTGTGACGTTCAGGCTTCTAAACAAGTCGTTCTGCAGAAGATTTTGTTAAAAAAGCCAAACCTTTTTGATTCAACTGTTGTTGCCAGCAGTTGGAGGTTTTGTAAAGTACCGATTAAGTTTTGACATTAGTACATACTATCTAGTGCGGTTTGTGTTGTGTGAAATGTCAACCGCATAACCTGTCATATACAACTGGTGAATGGTACCATATCTACAGTTTGGTGAATCTATACTTTCAGTAATTTACTGGTTATAGTTTGCTTTGCTATCGCAAGGCAGATTGTTCCCATATTCTCATTTGGGTTAGTGCTTGGTTAATTTTATAATTGTGATATTTCAATGTAATTTCTCATCATAGCTTACCACACTGAATGCTGAAATCAACTTTCTTGTGCAGGTTGTAGTTACCACAACGCTTTCTGGGCACACCAACCATTCTCAGGGTTCACTGATGCGGAAATGTTTTTCAGGCTTTCTCTTATCCACTCACATGAAATTTAGTCTAACTATGTCATTGTGAGGCTTCCTGAAAATATTATCGGGGATAGGTATGAGATAATTGAAGTCCCTCTTCGGAACTTTAGGATCGTTTCAAAGCTGCTATGATAAGAAGAGTTGTACCTACAGGATCAGTAATTGGCTGAAGAATTCTCCCCAGATGTACATTTTAGGGATATCACATACACAAATACCTTATTAGATGTAACAGCTAGTCAATGATATCAAAATTGACGATGCATTCAGAGGGCATGAGGAATCCAGTCAATCTTTCGAAATACACTTTAATAAAGTTGTGAGGGGAAGACGACAGGACTGTAATGGCTGTTAGACCTAAAATAGGCATTTCAACCACATTATTTACTAGTTCTTACTGTCACAAGGATCTCTGTGCTCTCTAAATCGCTGAATCATCGAGTTTTGACTCGGCGGCCCGTGCAAATAAAATCTATCAGATGTGTAGTATTTTGAAAGAGATGACAGTAAGAAATTTGTCGCATGATTCCATATTTATCTGTTGTAGCACATACTCCTGACTTATTGGGAATATGCGATCGTATTTAAGAAACCCATAATACAGCAGTGCGCTCATATCAAAGACGTTGTAATGCCACTAACGAAAAATAGAAGCACTTTGCAACAGCATATAGCTCAATTATCTACTTTACTTGGACACCGATGAGCTCACCTTTTGGTTGGAGCGGACTGGAAATCACATTCATGATTGTAATGTGATGATTGTTTTGTGTTCCTCTGTCGGTTAGACTGAAACAAGCCAATGTGTCGACGCATGTCATAGGCATCTCCTTAGCATTGTATAAAGCAATGAGTCAGGTGATAACCACCAGAGATAACTAACGCGACGGTCCAGTTGAAAAATATCCCTCCCATCCTGTCAGTTATAATCCTCATTGAGTTGGCATTCATTTCTGTTTCAAACATCAATTATGCATGTCTGCTATTCAATCAGTCTTATATGCATGTGTGTGACTCATATAATTATATTATTAGAGATACTCCTGCCTTTCCTTGAAGCAAATAGATTTTACACTTTCTGATGTTATTCAATTACAAAATCTATATTTTCCGGATATATAACGCTCGAAAACAAGTTCCCCGAAGTTTAACTGTAGTGAAATCCACATATCCATTTGCACTGTAGTGGCAGCGAGTTCGGTTATGTCATTACAGAAGATAGGAAGCATTAGACATTCGTAACGGTCATATCACGTTGAAAACACCGGTTCTCTTCCAGCCGGTTAGTACTTGATGAATAGGTGACTCGATGGGAATGCCAAGTGTAGCTGACCTTTCAACATACTGAAAGTTCCACAATGTACCTGAAGTACTGCTTGGAATAGAAAAGACACTGCCATATGCTGTCGTAAAGCACCCTAAGAGAAATGCCAGAGGTGTCTTTGTCAGTAAAAATACACCTTCCTTGTTTCACCTAAAGGAAACAGCCCTTCAGCTAAAAACCACTCAGTGTTTATGAGTGACTGAATGGCCAAAGTGACAAATAAAGTAAACAGGTCATTCCACAAAGACGACGAAGTGATGATTGTAAGACATCAGAGAAGATGTCAGTGAGTTGAGTGATGATGAGAATCTGATTACGCGGTAAGTGGCATTTTCAATGAAAAGGGGTATACATCAGTATCTCAGTGAGGACTTGATTCAATTATTTAGATGTGACAACGATATCAACCTCATCCGAACAAGCGGTTGAAAGGTCGAGAATGCATGTGTATAATCAAGAAATATCACGGAGTAAATAACAGATTAATTGTTAGAATGCTTGAGCGCCGTTTATTAATTAAAAAGATACATGGATGAGTTCATTTGAGCCAAACCAAGTATTTAAGGCTAATTTATGAACCACCTCTTTACGAATACTAATATATTGGTGGATCCAATCACATTTGGCTCTCTAGCATATCTAAAAACCTGTTGCTTTTGCCGCGCACACCTTACCAATAAAGCTAGTGGTCATGTATTTCCCAGAGTGCCCTATTTGGGAATCCGAAAACCAGAAGGAGATAGATAATGGTACTCGTTATTAACAACCTATCTTCTAGAAAGCGTCTGTAGGTTAAGCTGAGTATCTGAAGCATTTCTGTTATTTCCATGTTCATCGTATTACTGAAGATGGCCGTTGACAAGATGACATGTCTACCTTCTGCATGAATGTATGCCTATGATAACAGGTGGAATGTGCATCTGTTTTAAAAGCGACACTATGAGACGCAGACTTCTTGTAAACGTACCCATCTGTTTGAATGAGATCGTAAATATAAATAGTGTGATCGTGGTCAACTGAGATAAGATTTGTAGATTTTAGACATATCATATTGATTTCACCCACTGTTGGACTCCAAATTATAGCTTCATCAGTGTTCATTGTTCGAAGTAACTGGGAATCAATGGAAGTAGTTATATGCATGGAAAAGTAATCTTTTAGAAAATATAGAAGCATGTCTGAAGTCCAGCACCACCTCTAGTTATTTCGACTTTCTGTGTAATGTTATAATAAATATTTATATAATAAGCTGCCGTCATAGATACTGCATTCGTCTTCTTTTAAGTAACGGACTCTCACACACATTCTAAACGAGAAGCGGTTTTATACAGGAATGAATCTACCTTTATAGGCTTGGGAAAATGTAATTTTGCAAGCGTTATCATACAGTAGTCGGTTTATGTTGAGAAGCAAATCGTATTGGTATTAGTGTTACAGTTAGTGAAATTCAGATCACTGCAGTAAAAACAGAGACATTGTTATTTGAAAATTCAACGAGTGTAGAATACACATCGATTTGTGATACATTTTGAGTTCTCTTAGATCTGTGATAATTTGAGATCGATGTTACAAGAGGTGAGTTTAAACTGGACAACAGAGTGTCATGTGATTACACCAGCAAAATTGCATTGGATCAGTTCAAACCGACAAGTTCAAACGATCGGTTACACTTACAAATAAGCAGATAATAACTGTCTTGTT